CCCGGCCGCCGCAGCTGATGGTGTTCCGCAACGTGGGTCGGCCGCCTGAGGAGGAGGACGCGGAGGCGGCTTCGGAGCCAGGACCCTCGGAACTGCTGTGTCCCCGGCACCGCTGTGCCCTGGACCCCAAGGCCCTGCCACCGGGCTTGGCGCTTGAGCGGACCTGGGGCCCGGTGGCTGGACTAGAGGCTCAGTTGGCGGCTCTGGGGCTGGGGCAGCCGGCGGGGCCGGGGGTCAAGACAGTCGGAGGGGGCTGCTGCCCATGCCCATGTCCGCCTCAGCTGCCCCCTCCGCAGCCCCAGGCGCCTGCTGCCACCCCGCAGGCCGGGGAGGACCCCACAGAAACGAGCGACGCACTGTTGGTCCTGGAGGGCTTGGAATCGGAGGCCGAGAGCCTGGAGACTAACAGCTGCTCGGAAGAGGAGCTCAGCAGCCCGGGCCGTGGAGGAGGAGGGGGCGGCCGGCTTCTGCTGCAGCCCTCAGGCCCCGAATTACCCCCAGTGCCCTTCCCGCTGCAGGACTTGGTCCCTCCAGGGCGCCTGAGTCGAGCGGAGCAGCAGCAGCAACAACCTCCCCCGCCGCCGCCACCTCCTGGGCCCCTCCGGCCGCTCGCGGCTCCTTCTCGTAAGGGCTCCTTTAAAATCCGCCTCAGTCGCCTCTTTCGCACGAAGAGCTGCAACGGTGGCTCCAGCAGTGGGGATGGAACCGGCAAGAGGCCTTCTGGAGAGCTGGCTGCTTCAGCTGCGAGTCTGACGGACATGGGAGGCTCTGCGGGCCGGGAGCTGGACCCGGGGAGGTGAGCCCAGTTCGGGGGCTGGCGACAAACTTCCTTTTCTTGTTTCGTCCCCCCCCCCCTTTTTTAAATACTGCTAACAGGATCTTGGCAATTCTTAAGATATGGTCTTCATGAGGAGGCAGAATCTTGTGGCTAAAGGTTGTGACATCTTACATGAGATCAGAGCTAATTGTGGTAACAGCTGGAAACAGCTTTCACTCAAGAGAGTTTACACTGGATGGATGACACTTACCATTTGGTTAGCATCTCTGGAGATGATTTGAAACCCGCTGCCCACCCCCACCCTGGCTCCGCTATTTTTTAGATGTTCCAAAGTGTCTTTCCACCTTAGCTCTGCAGGGAGATTGCTAGAAATGTTTGGGCCTTTGGGTCAAAAAAGTTGATGGAAATGTTTGGTCTTTGGAGCAAAAAGTGTGACCCCATTACCTTGCTTATTGTCTTGACCACCTTGTTGTTCTGTTTACCTGCATCCCACTCCCCTTCACCCTCAAACATACAAATGACCTAAGGAACTTGTGTGGTTATAGGCCAGTAATCTGTTGGGCACCTGAATTCAGTTGTAATGTTTTCCTGGTTGTTCTTGCTATCTAAATCCTCTGTACTGACTACTGTCTGTGAAAACAGAAAATAGCTTTGCTCTGTCTCTCAAGCCCATGTGAGAGTTCTGAATGTGAGGTATAGACATTGGTGTATGAGTTCTAGGCCAATTAATGAAAATTCCAAAATTAGGCATTGAGCTTTTTTCTGCATCTCTAAAAGGTGGACTGATCTTTGACATCTAGCATTACATCTTTATTATCAGTTTAGAAAGCTGTCAACTTTTGTGTCAATGAAATAAGATTTCCCTTGTGATAACTGCTATTGTGGATTCTTGAGACACACTGGACAGACTAGCCAGACATGGGTGCATGTGCCTGTAATTCCAGCTACCTGGGAGACTGGGGCATGAGGATCACAAGGCCAGCCTCAGCAACTTAGTGAGACCCTACCTCAAAATAAAAAATAAAAAGGGTTGGAAGGGTAGCTCAGTGGTAGAGGTTCACTGTGTTCAATCTCTGCTCCCCCCCCCCAAAAGAAGGTAAAAAGGTCAGTAACCTGTATAAGTTGACAATCTTGCTGTGCACCAGAATCACTGGTGGGCTCTCTGAAAAGATCTATGTATCTGGAACCCACAGAATTTTGAATTTTTGTTTTTGTGTTTTTGCAGTATTAGGAATTGAACCCAGAGGCACTCTACCACTGAACCACTTCCCTATCCTTTTTTAAAAAATATTTTATTTTTTTATTTGTAATTGGACACAATACCTTTATTTTAATATGGTGCTGAGGATCGAACCCAGGGCCTTACATGTGCTAGTCAAGCACTCTACCGCTGAGCCACAACCCCAGCCCCTTATCCCTTTTTTTTGCGACAGGTTCTCACTAAGTTGCCAGAGGTGGCCTTGAAATTGCAGTCCTCTTGCTTCAGCCTCCAGGGTAGCATTATCACAAGTGTGTGCACTGTGCCCAGCAAGAATTTGAATTTTTATAAAGCTCCCAGTTGATTCTGGACTGGGAACCATTCATCCTTGACTTCTCAAGGAAACTAGGATACTCCAGGAGGAAAATGTGGGCTGGGTATGGCTTTGTTGCCCTTTCTGAACAGCTCTACTGTGGGTTTATTATCTTGGGGATCAGGCCAAACCCAAGCTCCCTAAAGAACCAGTGTCTTACCATTTCAGGTAGGCCCAAATTTCTACATTTGCTTCCTGATGAATACATTTGCTGGGAGTTTAGGTCTTGAAAAGTGTGTGACTGATGAAACAGCTTTTTTTTTTTTTTTTTTTTTTTGTGGTCACCTCTGCATTTGATGCTCCAGTTACCAATAGAGATGAAATTTTCATCAGATCAGGGTAGAGGGTGGGATTGAAGCTCTATGTAAGGACATAGAATAGATTGCTAATTTTCTTGTAGCTTATCTTGCCTTTGTTCCATATTGACCAGGACTTGGTCTAAGATTTCAGAAACACCAAATATGAGGTGGCGTGAAATTAGCTGTTATGTCTAATAGATTAGGAAGAGGAAAAGGCATATAACATTATACGGTTTTTTGCCTTTGGAAGCAGAATTTAATGGTCATTGGCTGCTCTGTCACCAACCCTCACACTAAGCACAATACAGATTTCTGCTGCAGAGCAAATTGGGCTGTACATCTGCAAAGAAGCTTAGTTCAGGGCACTGGAGAATTACATTTTTTGGTCCAAGGGTTTTTTCTGATGAATTGGAGAAGAGCTAGGTATTTGTGTCTAAATGTTTGGTTGACTGCTGTTTGTAGGCAGCATGTTGTATAGAGAATGCAAAAGTCTATATTTCCTTTTGACCCCCCAACATCATCTGTGAGATAGAGGTTGAATTTGTCTTTTTTTTTTTTTTTAAATCTATAAAATGAGAGAGCTATAGCTATCTTGTTCTTGTTCTTACAGGAATAGAATGAAGACAAGAAAAATCTAGATGGAATATTTTGTGCTTTTTGGAAAAGAAATAATAAGTCTGAAATGGTAAATTTTTTCTGTGCATAGGATTTGCTGCTGCTTGTTAGCTTTTCCACAGCTTACTATGTGCCAGTCTTGTTGGCAGCCTCACAGCTGTGAGAAACTTGGTGAGTCTGGCCAGGGTACTTGTGATTTCTGTGGATCTGCACCTCCTAAGCAAGTCCGCCCTGTTGAGAGGAAGGATGAGTTTGAATTTTTAGCTTGTTCTCTTATTTTGATTGGTAGGATATGGAAGCAGTGAGAAATTTCAGTCTTTTGCCAAAGGGTATATGCCTTCCTCCTCATTGTTAGTTAATTATGGGCCTCTGCTGTCTTTGCTGTATAATTTGGGGCATTTACAGTAACCTCTAGGCATAATTCTCTTCACTCTCTCGATATCTACCTTTCCCACAGCTATCTATTAGAAAATACTTAAATCATGATTTTATAAGGCTTAGCAGTTTCCGTATTTTAACACAAATCCAAACTTGACTTTCTTGTTTTGTCTGTCCCTACAACACTTTCAGATGCTTTCGATTTGCTAAGTGGACCTGACTGAATTATACTGAGCATGAAGAGTAGTATGAGTTAGCCTAGAGAATTTTTTTTTTTTTTTTTGGTGTGGTACTGGGGATTGAACCCAAGAAGCATTCTGCCACTGAATTACATCACCAGCCATTTTCATTTTTTCAGACAGTCTCACTAAGTTGCAGTTGCAGAGCCTCTCCTCAACCTTATGATGATCCTGCCTTATTCTCCCAAGTAGCTAGGAGTGTAGGCATCCACCACTATGCTTTCAGTGAGAACCCTTTTTAAGTGAAGTAAGAAATGATTCTGCCAACTAATCAGGTTTCTGTTCTTGGGAACTGGCCTAGGCTGTATATACCATGCATATGTTGGAATTCAGAGATCTGGGCTTGATGCCTATGGGCCTCATAATATAGAACTTTCCTATTTCAGGAAAACCAGTGGAGTTCCCTTGTCCTGTTCACATATGTTGAGCTGATTGTCTTCCTTTGGATTTGGTGAAAAATAGCATTTGATCTGCCCTTTTTTAATCATCACATAATACATACTTGGTTGGAATGGGTACCTTGTTTTACTTTTCAAGATTTGTCTTTACCAAAATAACAGTTGAGGCTATTACGGGTAGTCTTCATAGTTGTGAAGTGGAGAAATGGAGAACAGTTTTATGGTTGCTTCCTGTCTATTTGTTGGTGGAAAAGATACAATTCTAAACAGAGAGGCAAGTTGCCTTGGCCTTTGTTTGAGGCCCTTCTGTCATGGACAGACCTGTCAGGAGAAAACTTTTTTAGTTTCCTTGGGTCTTCAGGCCTAAGGATGCTTTTTTGAGTCATAATATGAAAGTTGAATGATTTTATGGTGTGGTGAGGAAGTTCTGACTTTATGTTTGGGTTTTGGGTCTGTTGATCTTTTTAACTATTTTTCCACAAAGTGGTTGTGGTTGGCAACTCTCTTAGAATGAACCCCCTAGCTTTAGAAATCTCTGTGTGTTTGAGTCTTGTGCCTTTTACTTATCATTCTCCTGGCCAACATCATTCTTAAGATTTTAGGTGTTGGACTATGCCTCTTGGCTTTTTCCTGGAAGTTCCATCCGTAGGTTCTTTAGTTGGTTTATGATGTAGTTTTGGATCTGACCTTGCTGCACAGATGTCTGTGTATTGGAACTAAAAATGAACACATGGTTTTGTGCCTGTAGCACATGAACAGACACTGGCTTATGATGTGTTGGAAATGGCACAGGCTGCCTGACTTGGCACTGTGTGCTTTAGCAGGGGCAGAGGTACATTGGGACTGCAAAGCTTGGTATTTGGGTATCCTACTTTGGAAGTTACTTTTAAAAAGGATATTTGTAAGTCTTAGGGCATCAGTGGAGGGATTTATGGACAGGAGAGAGAGGGCTTATTATTTCATTGTTTTAATTTTAGGTTTTAAGGAATTTGAAAATTGGCCTATGGTTATATCTGTGTGTTGTCATCCTGTACAGTTTAGTGCTTATAACTCCTTTTATCTCATAAATCTGTTGCAGTACAAATAGTAATTTGCAGAGTGGAAATGAACAGAGGCATTGTCTCTTTTGCCACCTACAGCATTGGCAGCTCACACAAAAAGACTGCTAGCCTCAAAGAAGACCTTTGCCTTATGCTGTCTGCCCCTGTCCTATAGAGGAGTAACCCACCAAATTCTGCCCTAAGCCCATGCCACCCCTCAAATGTTTCTGCTACTTGGATGCACATGGCCCACTGGCAAATTACAGTGGATTAACTTTGTTTTTTTTTTTTAATTTTTTTAGTTTTAGGTGGACACAATATCTTTATTTTACATTTATGTGGTGCTGAGGATCGAACCCAGTGCCTCTTGTTTGCTAGGCAAACGCTCTACCACTGAGCCACAACCCCAGCCCCAGTGGATTAACTTTGTACCCTAATGCTTGTCAAGATGATCTGGGGAGCAATAAATAACACAGGGATATGATATAGAGAATTAGTTAAAAATGTTTATCTGGAGCCACATGATTCATGTTGCTCTGGGAAAAAACCAGGATGTCCACTAGAATGAGATTTTATCATTCCATATGTTTTCTATATACAAAAGGGGATATAGAAAATATATGTACTTGAGAAGCTTCGCAAATGTATAGAATGTTATCAGTACCTTTGAAAACCTGAGTGTTGTTTCCTGTTTACATTTTGCTCCTCTCCCAGATAACTACCATTCTCAATTTTATGTTAATCATTCCCTTGCTCTTTTTTTTTTTTTTTTTCAAATAGTCATCTAGATTAGTCTTTCTGTGAGTGACTGCCATTAGAATACTCTCAGGATCCCCGAGATAGAAACCTCTTTGGATTTTTAGTTAAGCATCTCCCAAAGAATAAAAGAAGCACACATTCATTATCAGTCTTGTTTAGTCTCTTGGAGCTTTTACCTCTTAGTTCCAGCTTCAAGTCATCCTTATTTGCCAGGAAAAACCATCCCGGTGCTGTGCTCTCAAATAGCTCTGCCTGGGTTTAGATTCAGATGTTTTTCTTTTTCTAAATCCTAGAAACTATGATTCTCTTCTTCAAAATGTCGGGGGTGGGAGAGAAGATGAGCTGAAGTGAGAAGGCCTCCACAAGATGTGTGCATGTGGGTACTGCCGATCTTCAGTGCTTGGCACTGAAGAGACTCGTCCCCAGCATGGGCAGATGGCAGAGTAATACAGCTTCCTTTGAAAAGAGGCAAACAGCCAAATGGCTGAGGTGTGAACCTTTTGAAAGGCCAGTGCTTTGGGGTTCTACTTGCTGAGTTTAATGTTGTAACCACAAGTTATCAAATAAAAGTCAGTTAGGAATCTCTTCAGAAGTTCATGTCCAGTGGAATTAACTTTCCATTCGAGCCCTTTGGATTGTTGGCACTAAACTGCAGTCATGAAAAACTTTTTTTAAATAGAGGAGCTATGTGTGGTTGTGTATTGTTTTTATGTAGCCCTATCTCCTGTGTGTGTTGTGGGTGAGGTATCATTAGACCCTTCAAGTCTTAACAGGAGGAGGTTGCAAGAGTGAGTGTGATGATACGTCTAGGAGAAGGAAACTACCTAAGCTTCCGCTCTTTCTGAGTAAAATCTTCGTGGAATGATTTTGGAATTTTGTCTGAATCCTGAGAAGTTTAGATATCCATCTTAAATCATAATTGCATAAACATCTCTGAAGTCAGATAATTTTACAATAGGATTTCATTTTGGATTTTCTTTGCTTTTGCCTCCCTCTATTAATGCAGTTGATTGTTAAAAAGAATTAAGTCCTATTTATCCTTTGGGTTAGAATATTTTTGGAAGGTGAGCCAGCAATCAGTCCTGGAGTCAGTCCCTATAATGCCATAATTATAGCTATAACACATGGAGTCATTCAGTTAGTCTTGGGTTGGGATTTTTTTCAAGTCTAGTTTATTGAGGTATAATTGTGTTATTTTTCCCCCCCCCAGTATGGAGATTGTTGAACCTAGGGATGCTCAACCACTGAACTACATCCCCAGCTCTTTTTAAATTTTTTTATTTTGAGTTAGGGTCTCACTAAGTTGCTTAGGCCTCATGAAGTTGCTGAGGCTAGCCTTGATTTCACAATCCTCCAGGCCGCTGGGATTACAGGTATGCACTACCATACCCAGAAAAATTCATCTTTTTTAGTTGTCCATTTCTATTAATTTTGACAAACTTGTGTCTTGGCCAGCATGGAGCCTATGTTCATCACCTCAACAAGATCTTTTCTTGTAGTTAATTATCCTGAGTTTTTTAAATATAGTACATTTCTAACCAGAAAGCTTATGTTAGAGTCTTTGAATTTCTTTCATTTCTTGCTGAAAAGCCAGTTGAAATTACTAGAAACTAAAGTCACCTTTGGTGTGTAAACAAAAGGAGATTTAGAACTTGGAGTGATTTTGCATGTTTGTAATTCAGTGATTGCAGAGGCTGAGGCAGGAGGATAAAAAATTCAAAACCAGCCAGGGCAACTTAGCAAGACCCTCTCTCAAAAATAAGATATAAAAAGTGGATGCAGCTTGTGGTAGAATATTTGCCTAGCATATATGAGACTCTGGATTCAATCCTCTGTACTGCCAAAAGAAAAAAAAAAAAAAAAAGAAGTGATCTGAGTTTTCAGGTGGTCCCTGGAACAGCATCAAAGAAAAGTTAGGAAGAGCAGCTCAGAGAGAAGGGGCTGTCCTTGGGTACCAGGCAGGGAACCTAACCTGAAGTGGCGATCTTTTGAACCTCAGGGCAACTGTGTAGAATTCAGAGGTCTCTGTGTTTGAAGATTGGAGTGCTTCTGTAGTGTTCTTTCAGGTCAGAATATGTTCCCTGGCTCCCTTTGGGACCTTCTACTCCTAGATGCAGGCCCAGAGGGAAAGCTGTTGCTGTAAGCTGGCACCTACTCAGGTCTAGAGCCTTTTTCTTGGCTCCCAAATGAAAATCAACTCTGCTTCTGACTTCCTTCCTCTTGAAATGGACTTGCTAATTACCACTCAAGGTGCTTTACTCTTTGTACTGGGTATGGAGTGATCCAAAGGGATTTCTCATTGCTTTGTAGGCTGCTGAATTTAGTAGCCAAATCTATTTAAGGAATTGCCTTAATTATTTCACTCTCCTCCTTTAAATTTAAGGCTTTATTACAAAAGTGTTGCTGACAATGACTAGGTTTGCTTTGTTTTTCACTGCATCTGAAATTGAGTTTGGTAGTGATTTAAATGCATGCATGTTCTTTTCTCCCCTTTATTTTCTGTGTGCTTTCTTGCCCCTTAGGAAACCCAGGTTGACAAGAACTCAAAGTGCCTTTTCTCCGGTCTCCTTCAGTCCCCTGTTCACAGGTAAGGGCGATATCTTTTTCTTCTAACATCTGAAAGCAAGAATATTCTGAGGCCTGTTAGGAAATATATTTGCAGATCCATCACAGGGGGGCTTCAGGCATGTCTGCAGTAATTTCCTCCATTCCATACCACTGGATTTGGAGTAAGGCTATTTTTATGGTGTGGAATATATTCTTGACTTTGGATGCTTTAAACTTGGAGGTAAAGGCTGCTTTTTGGTAATTGAGTGGCCTTAGCAGTTATGCAGCGCTTAGTTCAGGGTCATCACAAATAAATTAAATGTTTAAAGTGTAAATTTAAATTTATAAGCTCACAATGCATAAAAGACTCTCAAGTCATATAATTCCCATCCATGCTTCCAAGAGAGTTCATAGATTACCTAATAAAAATGATCCATAGTATCTGATCTATTTTTAAAGACTTTGGGCATAGGGGATTACATGAGCTCTTGTCTTACCCATTTTAGGGGTGAGCAATTTTTGCAGCTGTTAGAGTTCTTCATGGTGTCTAATTTAAGTCTCTCCTCTTGCAGCAGGGAACACAGTTGCTAGAGTAGTAAGGCTGTTGAATGTCCTGTGGGTAATGGCTAACTGCTGCCTTATTTTACGGGAATTTTTTTTCAGATAGGGAAGCCTTCTGTTCTGTTGGTTGGATGTTAAGCTCCTGATTGAATAAACTATTATAGCAAAGGTCTTTACCACACCTCAACTCTCAGAAACTGAGTATTCTTCTTTTTAAAAAGCTTCTCAATTACAATCACTGGTTGTAAAAAAATCCCAACTTCAAATTATTTTGGATTGGGCTAGGGATGTGGCTCAAGCGGTGCGTACGGCCTGGGTTCGATCCTCAGCACCACATACAAACAAAGATGTTGTGTCCGCCGAAAACTAAACAATAAATATTAAAATTCTCTCTCTCTCTCTCTCTCTCTCTCTTTAAAAAAATTATTTTGGATATTATGTCCCTTAAAAAGGTGTTTGGGGAGGGCTGGGTTTGTGGCTCAGTGGTAGAACACTCGCCTAGTACATGTGAGGCACTGGGTTCAAGCCTCAGCACTACATAAAAATAAAAGGTATTGTGTCCATCTACAACAACAAAAAAAAGGTGTTTGAGGGCTAGGGTTGTGGCTCAGTGATAGAGCGCTTGCCTAGCATGTGTGAGGCACTGGGTTCAATCTTCAGCACCACATAAGCAGATAAATAAGTAAAATAAGGGTGTTGTGTCCATCTACAACTAAATACACACACACACACACACACACTTTTTTTTTAAAAAAAGGTGTTTGGAAGAATTACGATTTGGGAATGGATATTTCTGGGAAGATGGTAAGCAGACCAATAGGACCCCCAATTGGGTAGACTGTGATGAGCTGTCAGAACAAGTGAGTTGGTATCTGTGTAGATATCTACTATAGTGGAGAAGGAGGTCTCTGTTCTTATTCCAAGCCCAGAATTAAACAATTGTATCCTGAAGCCAGGTGCAGTGGCACACACTTGTAATCCCAGCTGCTCAAGAGGCCCAGCCTAGATAACATAGCAAGATTCTGTCTGAAAAAAAGAAAGAAAGAAAAAGTTTGTATATTATTAGCAGTGTGTCTTTTTAGCTAATAGTTATTTTATTCTTAAAATAAGAAATGCACACATTTTGTAATTTTAGGTTCAGACAGCCTTAGTTCTGTTGAATTATATCTTTTATTTAAGAACTACATTTATAACCTACACCTCTTTATCCTGCCAGGAAAGAGACTTCTCTGGGCCTGTTGCACTGCTCAGGGCAATGAGGCTGTCAGTTATCAAGCTGTGTAATGAGGCCAGATCAGCTTCCTGGAACTTTTCTTATTTTTAACCCCCTTTAGTACTGGGCATGGAACCCAGGGCCATGGGCATGCTAGACAAGTGCACTAAACTATACCTCCAGCCCTCTGTTTATTTATTTTTAAAATATTTTTATTTGTAGATGGACACAATACCTTTATTTATTTTTATGTGATGCTGAGGATCAAACCCATTGCCTCATACATGCTAGGCGAGTGTTCTACCACTGAGTTACAACCCCAGCCCCCCCCTCTGCTTATCTTAGTGTTTAAGAACTTTGTTAAGCTGGGCGCAGTGACTTATGCCTGTAATCCCAGCAGCTCAGGAGGCTGAGGCAAGAGGATTGGGAGTTTAAAGACAGCCTCAGCAATTTAGCAAGGCTTCAAGCAACTCAGTGAGACTCTGTCTCTAATAAAATATAAAAAAGATCTAAGGATGTGGTTCAGTGCTTAATTGCCCCTATGTTCAATCTCCAGTACCCCCTCCCCCTCTAAAAGAAAAGAGAACTTTTTGTGTGTATGTGTGTTTAGATTCTGAAAACCTGCCTCCTGGCTTTTTTTTTTTTTAAGTTGTAGATGGACACAATACCTTTATTTATTTTCTTGTGGTGCTGAGGATTGAAACCAGTGCCTCATGCATGCTAGGCAAGCACTCTGCCACTTAGCACACAATCCCAGCCCACCTCCAGGCCTTTTAAAGATATTGGCCACCTCACTTTTCTCAACCTGAGTCATTTAAATACTAACCAAGGGGCTAATTCAGCCCTGAATGAAAAGAATGTGTTGGAAGTAACAGCTCAAGGGTTAAATTTAGGGAATTTTGAGTTCTGATCTGTAGAGTAGACTTCAGAACCTATCCCTGGCCATTAATCTGCCTTAGAAAATACCCTTCATTTTCTGGTGACTTAGTGGAGAGTGGTTAGGTAGAGTTGGGTGGCAAGGAGTAGAGTATATAGCAAAGAACAAACCTGCATGACATGCTGGCAAATAAGGAAAACCATGAGCCACCCCCACCAAATTCCTATACCCTCTAAGCTTATCTCTGACTTACTAACTGAGGGAGTAGTTTTAGTGTTATAAATCCACTTTCAAACTTTGTAACCTCAACTATTAGGAATGAATTGATAGAAGGTAGACTCTGTTTTAGGTGAATACTCTGGGAAATCTAGTTGTGGAAAGCCATCTAGGTGAATGTTGGGACCTTCATCTGCATGCAGCTTCCCTGCAGTTAAATTTACTAATGTTCAGGGGTGATTCTAGCCCCTGAACAGCATTAGGTTTTTAATTTTTTTTTTTAAGGATAGAAAGAGAGAGAATTTTATAATATTTATTTTTTAGTTTTCGGTGGACACAACATCTTTATTTTATTTGTATGTGGTGCTGAGGATCGAACCCAGCGCCCCGCGCATTCCAGGCGAGCACACTACTGCTTGAGCCACATCCCCAGCCCCCCAGGTTTTCAATTTTTTAAGAGCCATGAACCTCTAGTCAACCTTGCTTGCCCTTTTACTTTCCTCTGCTGCTGGCCTCAGCTTTGGCAAGGTGCTTCTGTAACACGCTTGCTCCATGAATCCTTCAGGTGAAACAGTGTCGCTTGTGGACGTGGACATTTCTCAGCGGGGCCTGACTTCTCCACACCCTCCAACTCCCCCTCCTCCTCCAAGAAGAAGCCTCAGCCTCCTAGGTATAGTTTCCTCCCCTATCTGCTATCTTTCTGTAGTGGGAGGGTGAGATTTAGGGCCTTGTTCTTTGTCAGGAGCCAGATAAACTTTTGAGTTTCTAATGATGACTCAATTATTTCCTGACCCTTTCTCAGCACTCCTGTCATTTCCCTAGGCATTTAAACAGGTCTCTTACCTGCATGCTGCAATATTTACTGCCCATTTGTTAATTAGCTTTTCATTTATCTTGCCCTGAATCTACTGCTATTGAGATGCTTTAGGAATATCCTTACTCTCCTGCTTTCTAAGCAGAGCAAACCAGATTAAGATGATTGTCATCCTCTGTGCAAAAAGATGGGGTGAAGGTCAGGCCAGCTTGCCCCAGAGGGCAGCCTGATAATCCTTCTCCCTTTCTTCTGCCTTCACCTCACTCATTCTGTGCTCATTTTTCTGAACCTCTTTGCTTTTGTTCTCTCTTCTAGATGATATCAGTGGGACGCTGCCTACATCCGTCCTTGTGGCTCCGATGGGGTCTTCCCTGCAGTCTTTCCCCCTACCTCCGCCTCCTCCACCCCATGCCCCAGGTTAGCTTAGCTTAGAGACAAGACTCATAAAAGTTGAAGGATGGGAGAAATCTATTTGTGGAAATAAATATGAGAAAGCTTAAATCTTTTCCCCTTTGGCTGGACTAGAACTCCTTAGAAATGAGGCCGAGAATTGTTTTTTCTAACTCGTTACTCTGTGGAGGTGGATCTTGAGTTTTTTTTAGGAATAAAAGACTATTGTATTTTTTATCTTTGCTACTATAATACTGTTTTGTGATACTTAGGTAGATATCACATAAGAAATTGTATTAATTTCAGAATAGTGAGGAGGTTTAATATGTTGCTGGTTTTCAAAATTCTGTGGTTTTTCTAAACTTTTAGTATTTACTGCAGCAGCCTTGTAAATAAGTTTTCAATTAGCAATAATCACGCCTCGGATAAACCTCATTGGCTACGATACTGCCACTGCGCAAAGCTTGCCTTGTAAATAAGTACCGAGCATTTAGTGGCCCATACCTGCTTTGCTAGCCTCCAGTACCCAAGGAATAAAATGAATGAAATCAGCATTGTTTTCTACTTGCCTGGCAAAATCGTTACTCTTCCCGGGCAAGTAAGCAAGTCACTATTTCCAAGGCTGCTTTACCGACACTTCACTTCGAGGTGGGAGAAGTTGGAATCGCTCTAGGCTGGTGAAGCCCCTGAAGTAGTCACCTTAGTCAGGTTAGTGGGCAGCTCCCTTACCCCTTTCCAGGGGTTAAATGCCCCCACCCATCCTTCACAGCTTACACAAGCCCACACAGCTTTTTGTTCCAGCCCATCCAGCTCTTTCCCACTGCTTTGGCTTCCACCTTTCCAGCTTAGCTTCTAATGCCTTGCCCCTCTTCAGTTAGCATCTCTTTTTGGGGGGGAAGGTATCTGTGGGTGGGAGCAATAATGGTAAACAAATGACCCCCACTTTCTTGCTGTGCAGATGCGTTTCCCCGGATTGCCCCCATCCGAGCAGCTGAATCCCTACACAGCCAGCCCCCGCAGCACCTCCAATGTCCCCTCTACCGGCCTGACTCTAGCAGCTTTGCAGCCAGCCTTCGAGAGTTAGAGAAGGTAGGTGTTGCCTGAGAAATGGCAGCCCACTTCTTCTTTCATGTCCACGTTCTGTGCCAAGATCCTCCTTGTTTTTAGAGGAAGAGTAGTTTTCTTGCCTTCATATTTACAGTGAAAAATACTGTGTTATTTTTGTTAATTTTACAAGAGATTTAATAAAACTGAATTTGAAGGGGAAAATGTGAACATGATGAAGGAAGGTTGTAGAGAAATGTACAACTTAAATCTTTTCTGTTTTCTTTTCTTTGGAAGGGCCTTGGTAAAGGAATTGTAGAATTAATTTTCCATTGCTTTGAAAGCCTAAATGTATAATGAGCTTGATGATTGTTGCTGACACTTGCAGTGGCTCTTGCTTACTCAAATATTTTGGAGATGGGGGGGGGTTCTCCTTTGCTAAGATGGATTGTGCTGAAAACATTGATGTTTCTTAGTTCTTTTAACCACTTGTCTATTTCTTACCTTTGATAGTGTGGTTGGTATTGGGGACCAATGAATTGGGAAGATGCAGAGATGAAGCTAAAAGGGAAGCCAGATGGTTCTTTCTTGGTACGGGACAGTTCCGATCCTCGTTATATTCTGAGCCTCAGTTTCCGATCACAGGGTATCACCCACCACACTAGAATGGAGCACTACAGAGGTAAGAGATGCTGATGTTTCCCCCTTTGCCTTTTTTTACCTTTGCTACCTGACATTTTCAGAAGAAGGATTTATAAGAATGGAACTAGGAATAGGGGGCAGAAATATTATGAACTCATTGAATGTTGATATAGGTTTTAGTCTTTAGAAAAAATGTTGGACAGGTGGTTGGAGAGGGAGAAGAAAGATTCTTCCTTCCATTTATGTATTTATTGCAGTACTGGGAATTAAACCCAGGGCCTTGTACATGTTAGGCAAGCACTTTACCACTGAGCTTTATCCCCAGCCCTGAAGTTCCATTTTAAAGTCTCCTCAGCATCTTGTCTCCTAAATAGGAAGAACAAAATTACTGATGAGGCTTCTGAGAATAGAGATAGTAAAATTCTTTTGATAGAAAGTAAGAAATAATCTAGGACAATTAGACAAATTCTCCTAAGTTTTATTCATAATTACACTTACCATCCAGAGATCCTGTGATTTCTTTGCCTGATAGTGACATTTGTCTGAAAGTCACTTCCTGTCAGGCAGCATGGTGATGACAGTTTTCTCTTTTTGTCAGGTTTGTATTGTAGTCTCTTAGGAAGTTTTCATTGGAATGCTTAGAATTTGTGTGATCCATGTGCTTTAGACTCTCTGCTGTCCTCCCAGTGATACCTCTTTCTTTGTGGTCAGGTGGTATTTTGGATACCCAGAGTATCCATGAGCTGACTTGTAAATATAGCTGTTTGGATCCATATTTATATTGAGACAGTTGTTTTTGATGCAGGCCTGAAACTTGTGTTGGTCACTGGTGGTACATCAGAATCCTTGCATATACTACAAATAAAAAAGTATAGAGAATTTCGGGGAATTTCAGGGATTTGTCTTTCCTGTCCCTCACAGTTTTCCCTCATGTGCTCAACCTTAAAAAAGCTCTGCATCTCAAGAGCCTCTCATGCTCCTCTCAGACACCATGGTGTCTTCCCCAGTCTCAGCTTACAATTTGTTGGACTTATTTGCATTTGTCTTGTGAGATAGGAAGTAGCTGTTTAGGTCAGCGTGGCCGTGATTTCCTCTGCCCACCCCCTACCTTAAAGGTGCATGAAGAGAAAAGAACTTCAAAGACCTGAGAATGAATTGCATAATGAGGAAACTGCTGCCTATTTCCCTGCTGTTCCTAAAAACCAAAATGAAGCTGGGCCTGGTGGCTTACACCTGTAATCCCAGAGGCTGGGGAGGCTGAGGCAGGAGGATTGCAAGTTCAAAAACAAGATGCTAAATAACTCAGACCTTGTCTCTAAATAAAATATAGGGCTGGGGATGTGGTTTAGTGCCTCTGAGTTCAAATCTCCAGTATCAAAACAAAACAGACAAAAACTAAAATGCAGGACAAAGCATTTCAGAGTGCTTTTTTAAACCTATGAAAATTAAAATGAATATGTTAAAGGAGTGATAAATAAATGCTTGACCTTTAAGTTTCTGGTAAGTGAGACACCAGAAATTAGAACTCTTGCAAATAGTTCTCCAATTACTTTTTTTTTTGTGGGGGGGATATACTGGGGATTGAACTCAGGCATTCAACCCCTGAGCCACATCCCCAGCCCTATTTTGTATTTTATTTAGAGACAGGGTCTCACTGAGTTGCTTAGTGCCTGGGTATTGCTGAGGCTGGCTTTGAACTCGAGCTCCTCCTGTCTCAGCTTCCCAAGCCTCTGGGATTATAGGAATGTGCCACTGCACCCAGCCTTCAATTACTTTTGATTCAAAGAGACTTCTTCCTTGAATAAGTGGAGTTTTTAATAGTAGCCTTGTAGGCCTTTCAGTTGCCAGTTTGCAGTGGCATATTTATCTTTATCTTTTAAGTGATACTGTAAGAGTAGCTAGAGGGACTCAAATCACAGTTCCCTAGTGGTGTGATTAATACCCTTATTTGTATGGTTTTTTTTTTTTTTTTTTGTTGGTCTTTTGAAATCTAGTGCTTTAGTTTTTGGAGTTTTTCTTTTTGTTGTTACTGTTGAAGTCGTGGGATTTCAGGTTCCTTTTTGTCTTTTGGATTCTGATATTTGAAGTAGAAACTTTGTCACACACTGGGGCTTGGGATTTTAAAGAAGGAAAAGACTACTGGGCATGATAGGTAGCATATGCTGTAATCCCAGTGGCTCAGGAGGTTGAGGCAGTAGGGTCACAGGTTCAAAGACAGTTTCAGCAACTTAGTGAAGCTCTAAGCAACTTAATGAGATCCTGTCTCAAATTGAAATATAAAAAGGACTGGGGATATTGCTCAGTGGTTAAGTGCTCCTGCATTCAATTCTTGGTACCAAAAAAAAAGGGGGGGGGACTTAGATTTTGGTTTTCTGTACCTAACACACACATGAATGAGTGAGACCCATGAACTTCTATGCTTGTCCTTACTTAGCTAATCTGTGAATGCTTGAAGACTTAGATCTTTTTTTTTTTTTAAGGTGTAAATGGACACAACACAATACCTTTTTTTATTTTTATGTGGTGCTGAGGTTCCAAGTCGGGCCCCACCCATGTCAGGCGAGTACTCCACCACTGAGCCACAATCCCAGCCCAAGGACTTAGATCTTTTTAACAGGGATATCATTTAAACTTGGTTTTTCTATTGGTAGTCTTTTCTTATAGTCTTTATAGGATGTGTGTGTATTTTATATACATATGTACATATCTCTGTGTGTGTGTGTGTGTGTGTGTATACACACACATAAGCATATAAGTATATATGTATATATATAAATATAGCAAGTCTGTGTTTTAAGGATTAAGTTCATATTTGACAAAATCTTTTATTATAATGTTTTTCGTATTTGAATTTATTATTAATAAAAACCTTATAAGGGGCTGGGGTTGTGGCACACTGGTAGAGTGCTTGCCTCACATGTGTGAGGCACTAGGTTCGATCCTCAGCACCACGTAAAGATAAATAAACAAAATAAAGTTTTTTGGTTTTTTTTAAGACTTAATTCATGTCTTATTAAAGGCAACATCTTTCTTCTCATTGGTTGTGAGATAAGAAGGAACAGGTGACTTCAGGAATCTTGAACCCAGCTTGCCCACAAACTATGTCCTCCTAAAAGTGAGAATCAGTGTAAAAATGTTCAAACCTTCTTCTTGGATCTTTCCAAACTAAATTTTGAGGTTTTTACTTTTTAATTTTCCAGGAACTTTCAGCCTGTGGTGTCATCCCAAATTTGAGGACCGCTGCCAATCTGTAGTAGAATTCATTAAGAGAGCCATCATGCATTCCAAGAATGGAAAGTTTCTTTATTTCTTGAGATCCAGGGTTCCAGGTAAGGTTACAGTATTGATTGTTTAACTTAATGTCAGTATGATCCAATATAGTATCCAAATCCCCCCCCCCCAAACAAAGGCCACACTTACTTGAAGCTTTTTCTCCCTGGCTATTAATAGCACCCCTGTTCCTACAGATTCCAGTGGTTAATATTCTCCTTTAGTATATTAGTTCTACAACATAATGAGGAGGAATCTTTGCTTTTCCAACAACCTGAATGAGAAAAGTGTTCCCACCTTTGATGTCCAGGCATCATATGAACATTTGACATTCTGAGATGTCTTCTTGTTGCTAATCCAAGCATCTTGACATTTACTGTGAATCAGAGCAGTGAGAGCTCTCAGGTCATTTCCACAGGAACAGGGAAGGTAAGATTGAGTGTTCAACAGAAAGGCAGTGGAAGGATCCAGGAGGCTAGATTCAGTTGCAGTCTGTTAAGGAAGTATTTGCTGTGGATTTGCCTTCATTGTGCTAAACTTGCTGTCAAAAAAGTAGACATTTTTTGTTGTATCTTGTTATCTCTACTGTTGTTAAAAACAAAGACTTCTCTCCATTTGGTAGCACTGGACTATTCAGCCTTGCTGGTGTGGTTATGTAGGCTTCCTGCCTACTTCATCTGTATAATCTCTGTTGGAGGGGGAAAAGGGATGGTATAGAGGAGTCTGCTTTTATTATCATTGGGTAAAGTGACAAGCACATTAATGTGAGAAAATTGTAGGATACAAACAGAACTTAAGATGAGAACTTAATGCTTTCCCATTGAATCAAATTAAGATTCTTAAATAGGGTGCCAAGAAATTGCTCTAAAATGTGGGAGTTGCCAGGGAGCTTGGGCAGAACATCAGGAATAGGATGGAGCCAGGTGACAGGATGTTTTGAATAATCTTGGTGATTTAAATAAGACATGACAAGGTGTGAACTGTTTTAATTCCCACTTCATTTAGTATTTGCCTCAGTGCTGTCAACACAGTCAGGTCTCATGTAGTTGACTTGGTTAAAAGGAAAATTTAAGGGCTGGGGTTGTACCTCAGTATCTTGTCTAGCACATGTGCGCACTGAGTTCGATTCTCAGAACTGCATATAAATAAATAAAATAAAGATCCATCAACAACTTAAAAAAAAGAGGGTTTGTGGATGTGGCTCAGTAGGAGAGCACTTTGCCTGTCATGAGCAAGGCCCCAGGTTTCTTGTCTAGTGCTGGAAAAAGAAAATAAAACCAGACACAAAAGGAAAATTTAGGTTGGATTCAATGGCATGTGCCTGTATTCCCAGTAAATTTAGGAGGCTGAGGCTGGAGGGTCACAAATTCAAGGCCATTCTGGGCAATTTAGTGAGACCCCGTCTTAAATAATTGGACAATTAAAAAAAAAAAACTGGACAATTTCTTTAAAAGGCTGGAAATGTAGCTTAGTGTAGAGCGCCCCTGGGTTCAATCCCCAGCACCTCTCCCCACCAAAAAAAAAAAAAACAAAACTTAGAATCCTTTCTCATAGGAATTGACTCTGCTAAGCAGTTTTTAAAGTTTGTAGCTTTGGGAGGTATTTATTTAACAAACATTTATTTTGTCATTTATTGTAAAAAATAAGCCACACCACTGCCCTCAGAGAGCTAATAGCCTCAAAAAGACAAAGGCAAAAACACATTCAACACAGAACCAAGCATCACACTGATTGACCAAGGGCAGGATAATAAGTTCTGCTTGTGGAAGAACCAGGCAACTCTCAGATAGTCGTCTTACTCTAGTCTCTCTCTGCTTGCATAGTGTTGAGAGAATTGTGGACTTTTTGCCTCCTCGAGAATAGCTCATTTCATTCTACAAATGTGCCCCATTTTCAGAAATTTAAAGATTCTTGACACTGTAGTGAGATACAAGTGTAGCTTGCTACTGTTAATATTACGAGATACTTGGTTAGTTTCTTAATTTAAATATCTCTAGAGCCAGGTGCAATGTAATCCCAGTGTCTGGGAAGGCTGAGGCAGGAGGATTGCAAATTTGAGGTCAGCTTCAGCAGTATAGTGAGGCCCTAAGCAACTAAGTAAAGACCCTGCCTCAAAATAAAAAACAAAAAATGGTCTGGGTGTGTAGCTCATTGGTAAAGCTCCTCTGGGCTCAATCCCCAGTAACCTAAGTAAGTAAATAAACAAATAAATAATTAATATCTCTAATTTCTTACAACAACCTCAAAGTTAGTTAATAGATCAATCTATTAAAGAAATATATATTTATTTTGTCTGTTACCTGAAAGGTAGCACTAATTAAATTGAAATTTGAGCTTGCTGACATTTTGGAAACTAATGAATATAGAATCATGTTTATTAGTACTGATTACAATCTGGCCCCATTCATTTCACAGTTAGGAACTAAACCCCCAACACTACACAGCATTCTCAATAAAGAGAATGCAGCTGGTTTGGCACAAACCTCCACTGCTGTTAGAGCAAACTCAAAGTACACATGGCCTTTCAAGTTGGGAAAATCTTCATCTGTGAAGTGCATGAAGAAAAAACACCTTCTAAAAAATTCACACTTAAGGAATTGAACTTATAATTACTTGTTCAATGTTAATGCCTTCCCTGTAGACCAGGGTTTCTCAACTTGGTACCACCCTCAGCAGCCTTGACATTTTAGGATGGACAATTCTTTGTTGTGGGGAGGTGTCCTGTACATTGGGGAAAGTTAAGTAGGATAGAATCCCTGGCTCCTACTCACTAGGTGCCAGCCAGTACCATTCCCCCTCAAGTTGTAATAATCAAAAGTATGTCTTCATATGTCTCTAGAGGCCAAAATCATCCCCAGTTGGGAATCATTGCTATATGCCACAGAGTTAAAAAAATTTTTATGGAATCTGGAGCTAAAATACCTTCACTCCCTGGCCCTGATTTAAATACTAATTGTATGATCTTAGGCATGTAACTGAAATCTGTCCTGCCTCAGTTTCCTTAGCAGAAAAATGGGGATAATAATAGTACCTATTTTACAGGATTGTTTTAAGAAATGCAAGAGATAATTCATGAACAATATTTGAGACAATGCCTGACACACAGTAAACACTCAATAGATGTTACTTTTTCCTTCAGTCGTCTCTTAAGATGTAGTATATCTAGACCTCTTAGTCCTGTAAAGGAGTCACTACTCAAGATATATTTGTGAATGACACTCTAGGTGGCCCCTGGGTAGCCTTTGTTGTTAATTTTTTCTCTACTCAATTACTAGGTTCTCCAGGGCAAGAACTATCTTTCCTTTTGTTATTTTATTGCCTACTAGTAAACTAAAATATTTGCTGATGAGATATTAAGCCTGTTCAGAAAAGATTATTTCATGGATGCTTGTGAAAAAAGTCAGGACTCCTTTCCTGGGGATTTGTGACCAGAGTCTCCTGGCTTCTCACGAGAAATGGTTTATCCTTGTCTTAGAGGCACACAGTGCTCCACTGAAAGGCCTCCCTTCTTTGCCCTGGTTACACAGCCCCCTCTAGCAACTCTCCTGAATGTTTGCAAATCAGTCTTACTCTGGGTTTTCCTTCTTATACCCATTTGTTTAGTATGTGAATAGTGCAGTAAACCCTCTAACCCCAGCAGCCTTCATTCAGCCTATGACCACACCTGCTCTATCCACATTATGTGTCCGCTCCCTCATTGCCTGTTAGTATTTTCTGTTAAAGTTTACTTTGTTGAAGAATAACATATATAAATGCATAAATCAGATTTTATGTTTTGTCCTTATTATTTTGGAGCAAACCCCACATATCATATGCAAATACTTTGTTTCTCTTAAAGATTATTATTTTTTCAAAATCTTATTTTAGAATATCTGTATATTTATAGAAAAATTACAAAGATTAAAAAGAAAAATTATAGAAATTCCATACAACTCCTTGCCTAATTTCTTCCACTATTTACATATTATACTAGTCACAATTATGTTTATCACAATTAATAAGCCATTATTAATAAATTATTAATTAATTCATATTCAGATTTCTTTTTTACCTAAAGTCCTTTTGTTTCAGAATACCTTCCAGGCTACCAGATTGTATTGTTAGGTCTTTTGGTTATGACAAGTAGATAATGTCTATTTAAAAAACATATTCGTACTCTGGTTTCTTTTAAGATCATATGAGTCTTTTGCCTTTTACTAAAGATTTCTATGGAGAGGAAAAATTCTGGGGAAAAACAAACAAATGTGTATTTAACCATGAGTGGTGATTACACATGTGTAATCCTCATCAGCCATGAGGAATTACACATTCCTGTAATCCTAGTGACTCAGGAGGCTGAGGCAGAAGGATTGCAAGTTAAGGCCAACCTTGGCAACTTAATGAGAACCTGTCTTAAAATCAAATAAAAAGGACCTGGGATGTAGCTCAGTGGTAAAGTACCCCTATGTTTAATCCCTAGTACTGCCAAAAAGAAAAAGGAAAAAAAGTATATCTGTGAGATCATTATATACCTAAAATATATAATATGTGTGTGTGTGGGGGGGGTTGTACCTGAGATTGAACTCAGAGGCACTCAACCACTGAGTCACATCCCTAGCCTTATTTTGTATTTTATTTAAAAACAGGATCTCACTGAGTTACTTAGCATCTTGCTTTTGCTGAGGCTGGCTTTGAACTCGAAATCTTCCTGCTTCAGCCTCCTGAGCCACTGGGATTACAGTCATGTGCCACTGCACCCAGCTAAATATTGACAGTTTTTGAAGAGTAGTACGATCATTATTTTTGAGAATTTTCCTCAATTTAAGTTGTTCTAATTTTTTTCTCTTATGATTAGATAGATCAAAATTATGCATTATTATCTGGCTGGGGTTGTGGCTCATTGGCAAAGCACTTGCCTTGCACATGTGAGGCACTCAGTTTGATCCTCAGCACCACATAAAAATGAATAAAGATAGTGTATCCATTTATAACTAAAAAAAATATTTTTTAAAAAACTATACATTAAAGTCATAATCCCAAAAAGCCCCCCAAACAAAACAAAACAAAAAAACTCAGCTTTTGAATTGCATATAACAATTGGTTAATGTCTCTTAAATTTTTTTTTTTCTTTAAGAGACTGGATCTTGCTATGTTGCACAGGCTGATCTTGAGCTCAAGCAATTCTCCTGTCTCAGCCTTCTACATAGCTAGTAACACAGGGGATGCCACTATGCCCAGCAAATCTATTTTTAATTTATAGTTTTCCTCTTCCATCTCTTCTTTGTTCTATTTATATATTTAATTTTTTTGAGGAGGTGCTGTGAACTGAGCCCAGTACCTCATGCGTACTAAGTATATATCATTGAGCTACGCGCCCAGCCTATATTTAAAACATTGTCCTGTCTAGAATTTACCTGTTGCACATGGTATAGTTTAATATATTCAATTGTCCTCTGAATTTCCTATAACATAGTAATTGGATTCAAAGACTTGACTGACTCAGTTTGGATATTTTTGAGGTAAAGGGGTGCAGTACTTTATAAGTGATAGATTTTTCTTTCTCCTTTTTAATTATAAAAGAGAAAAGCACACAAATCAAATGCATAGTTTAATTATATAAGATGAACATCATTCAGGCAGAAGAACTAGAACTCTGCAAAAATCCTTCCGTGAACCCCATTCTAATCTCCCTCTGCCATTACTAGTAAACATTTCCTTTTTTTTTAAATTTAAAAATTTTTTTTTAGTTTGTAGATGGACACAATACCTTTATTTTGTTTGTTTATTTATTTAGTTTTAAATTTTTTTTAGTTGTAGATGAACACAATACCTCTTTCATTTTATTTGTTTATTTTTGTGTGGTGCCAGAGATCGAACCCAGTGTCTCACACATGTAGGCAATCACTCTACCACTGAGTCACAACCCTGGCACTCCTTTTATTTTTCTATGAATACTTCTATCACCCAAATATGACCAAAATATAATCTTACTCATTTTTAGAAATTTGATTCTTCTAAATCTTTTAATTTAATCTATAGGTTGAATTGGGCTGTTAAGATGGAGAATTTCCCTGGATTTTAGTGATTGCACACTCATAATTCAACATGTCATTCTGTCCTCTGTATTTCTTTCTTTCTTTTTAAAAAATATTTATATTTTTGGTTTTAGGTGGACACAATATCTTTATTTTATTTTTATGTGGTGCCCAAGATTGAACCCAGTGCCTCGAATGCTAGGTGAGCACTCTACTATTGAGCCCCAGCCCCAGCCCTCATATTTCTTATAAGTAGCAAAATAGCAGGAGTCTGATCCAGACTTTTTCTTTATCCTTTTCACAAGACTATAGCTTCCTAAGTAGCTGGAACTATAGCAGGTACCCCACACCCTGCTCTTCTTTTTTTTTTTTTAAGCTTTTATTTTTTATTAAATTTTTTATTCATTCAAAAAAATCATTTTTATATTGTTAAATTTGGGGAAACAAAAAAGCAAATGAGTATTTTATGACATGAAAATTACCTAACATTCAAAACTTCATTTTTGCTGAGCATGGTGGTACATGCCTGTGATCCCTGTGACTTGGTAGGTTGAAGCAAGAGAATTGTAAGCTTAACGCCAGCTTCAGCAACTTAGTGAGCCCCTGAGCAAATTAGCAAGACCCTGTCCCACAAAAGGGGATGGGGGCTGACGTTGTGTCTCTGATTAAGTGCCCCTAAGTTCAATCCCTGGTACCAAAATAATAATTAATAAAAAGGGCTAAGGTTGTAGCTCAGTGGTAAAGTGTTCTTGGGTTTAATTCCCAGTACCAAAACAAACAAACAAACAAAAAACACACACTCTGCTCTCATATATTGTATAATTTTAAACACATCCCTTCATCTGTCATTTGTTTACCGAACTCATGGAAAATTGTATAAATGCTTTATTCTTTTTATTTACCAGTTTTCAAGATAATAAACTGATTCTGCATTGTCCTTTTTTTAAATATTTTTTAGAAGTAGCTGGACACAATACCTTTATTTTCTTTACTTATTTTTATGTGATGCTGAGGATCAAACCCAGGGCCTCACACATGTTAGACGAGAGCTCTACCACTGAGCCACAATCCCAGCCCCCTGCATTGTCCTTTGAAGGTGACATTTAAGAAAAAAATTAGGAACATGTGGGGTTTATATATACTTGATGGGAACTATATTTTGGATCTGGAGTGTCCTTCAAAGGCCCATGTGTTAAAGGCTTGGTTACTAGGCTGTAGCACTATTTGGAGATGGAGAGACCTTTGGGAGGGAGGTGGGGCTTTGTAGAAGTATGTTAGGTCATTGGGGGTATGACCTTGAAAGGGACATTTGGACCCCAGTCCCTTGCTCACTGGATGTCATGAGGTGAGCACCTTCCTGCCATGTGCTTCTATCATGATGTACTGCCTCATCATAGGCCCAGAGGCGGTGGGGCCTAGCAGCTGTAGACTGAAATTTCCAAAATTTTGGCCAAAATGAACTTTTTCTCCTTTAAAGTTGATTATCTTTGGGGGGGAGGGGATACTGGGGATTGAACTCAGAGTATTCTACCAATGAGCTATACCCTTAATCCTTTTTCATTTTTATTTTGACAAGGTTTTGCTAAGTTGCTGAGGTTGGGCTTGAACTTGTGATCCTTTTGCCTCAGCCTTCAGAGTCACTGGAATTACTGGTGTGTGCCACTATGCCCAGCTTACAAGTTGATTATCTTAACATATTTTTCTATAGTGACAGCTGACTGCACAGTGGGTTTCAACCCATTACAATTATGATTATTAAAACTTAGATTGTCCTCTCTTTGGCTAATAAAAGCCTCTGCTTATTCGTGATTTCCTTCCTTCCTTTCTTTATTGAGATCTAAGTCATATAACGTAAAATTTATGATCTTTTTCTGTTTTCAGACAGGATCTCACTAACTTGCTTCGGGTCTCCTTACTAAGTTGCTGAGGATGGCCTCTATCTTACCATCCTCCTGCCTCAGCCTCTTGAGTCACTGGGATTACAGGCATGCATCACCATGCCCAGCTAATTCACCTATTTAAAGTGTATGATTCAGGGCTGGGATTGTTGCTTAGTAGTAGAGCACAGGCATTCTGTCACTGAGGTCTATTTCCAGATTCTATCTTACCATCCTCTATCTTACCAGCCACTCACTCTCCTCATTTTACAATTGGGTTATTTATTGGGTTTTAGAGTATTTTATATATTCTCAGTATAAGTCCCTGGTTAAAAGAATGATTTGCAGGCTGGGGATTTGGCTCAAGCGGTAGTGCGCTC